ATATATATAAGTATATATAATATATATATATATATAATATATATATATATAATATATATATATATATATTCTTGAGAGTGTCTGAAAATATTCTCAACTTTTGTCTCAAATGTAAGACAGGGTCGCTGGAGTGTGTATATGCATGTGCATGTCTGTATATATGCATATATGTATATGTATGTGTGTGTGTGTGTTTATCATACATAGATAGATACATAATATATATATATATATATATATATATATATATATATATATATATATATATATATATACATACAAACAAACAAATACATACATATATACACATATGCATATACACACATATTTCTATTTGTTCACACATATATGCGCATATACATACATGAGCCTATACTTCAATGTAAAACTGTCTGAGTCTATTCTCAAATGACTTAAGGCCATCACATTTTTATCGCTTTGTTTTTGTTTTTCTTGTGTAATGATTGATTTGCGTGTGTTGTGCCAGCACGATAGTGTATTTTGCCAAAGAAAACATGTTTATTTATGTATTAATGAATATGAAATAACTAAAGCGCCGACCAACGATGTAAACAAACGACGGACCTATTTTTTTCCTCCGACACTTCTCAAATTCAGTCTCAGAATTGTCTGAGACCTTTCGTGGATACGGCCCCTCATTTGTTTTGAAAGCATCACGTACGTATATGCAGACTCCTTCCCCCACGTCCTGCATCGAATCTATAAACGTTGAAATTTGGAATATTTATAATAGTACTTAACACATCCTGGTGAAGCCATGTTTCACTTATTCATAATGTATGATTTCTCTCTATTATGAACATTTATTTTTTATCATCATGTCCAAGGAGAGATTGAACATTTATCTAATCTATTTTGACCGTCGGTGTTACTGAAGGTCATATCCTCTAATCGCGACTGTATTTGTTTCTGTTTAGGAACACTGACAATCCTAAGAAAAGGCATTTGAATTTAAAACCATTTCAGGCTTTATATCTTGGCCTTGTACTGTTATCGTGAAACTGGGGTGATAGTTATGTGTTATCGTGGTTTTGTGTGCTTTAACGCTAGATATGTTTTCAAAGCTAGACGTTCTTCGGTGCCTTCTTCATTTGGGTTTAGATGACAACTTGTGATGTAAACGTCGATCGGCTCCTACTAAGATCTTTGGCACTTGTCGTTCTTCTGTTTTTTTTTTTTTTTTTTTTCTTTCTTTTTTTGTTTCATTGACGTGACTGTGACGAAACCTTCATCTTCAGCCATTTGTTTTGCTCTCTCAGCGTGGTTGTTGATCACGACCGTTGGCACTACTGGAGTTAGGGCTTGAGCTGGGGGGTGGGGGTATGAGGAGGGTGATGAGTTGCTACATTTCCACTGTGTCGGTGCTTCGGTTTTCTTGTTTGCTTGTGGGGATTGCTGAGGTGTTTTGGTATTCGGGGAGGCTGGCGAGTCAGCAAGGGCGGGGTGAGAGGGGATATGGGCAGGAGGGGAAAGGAGCTGAGAGGGTCGCTGGGCACGGGAACAGCAGGCAGGGAGGGTGTGGAAGGGGATTCTTCGATAGAGGTAGAGGACAATCTGATAGGGGGAGAATCAAATGGGAAAGAATGGTAGGAGGCCAAAGGTATGCGGATCGGATCTATCGTGTCGTCTGCTGCCTCTGATCTTTCATTTGATTTAGTGTTGCCAGTTGTTATGAGAACATTCCAATCAACAGACCAATTTTGTTTTCCGACAAACTGTCATTGTTGAAGGAAGGTTCTGGGTATGCCTGCGTTTCCTGGTTTCTAGTCTTTTGGAATAATTTGACAAAAGGAGCAGAAATACCTCTTTTTATCGGTGGCGCCCAGTCCGTGGTTGCGAACGCCATTTTTTCTTCATGAACACAATAATTTCTTCATGAACACAATAACCCATCATGGAGTGCACGAGCATGTTTTATCCTCTTCTTCATGTCCCTTGTTGTGTTTCCTGGTTTCCCATAGTGTTGATTATGATACCGTGGGCCTTTTCAATCTCTTCCGGACCAAATACTTTTTAAATCTGATAATAGATAAGCGAACTAGCCCACGCTTCCTTCGTGGCAACAAAGCATAGGATAGTGTTCATCATCATCATCATTATCATTATGGTCATCATTATAATGATTAAAATTGTTGTCATTATCATAAAATGATGATGACAATGATGATAATGACAATATTAATGGTGATAACGATAACAATAACATTGACTATAATGATAGTATTTATAGTAATATCAGTAATAGCAATAACATTAATGGTGATTATATATTCAATACTACTACTACTACTAAAAAGAATTATAATGAAAATAACAATGATAATGATAGCACTAATAATTATGATAGCGATAATGGTAATAATAATGATTGTAATGATAATAATGATAAGAATAGTGATACTAAAGATGCTGATAATGATGATGATAATAATGACGAAGAAATATTAATAAAGATGATAATGATACCATTGATAATAAAACAATGATAATGATAATGACACTGGTGATGATAATGATAATGATAAGAATTGTAGTAACAAAAATAATAATGGTAATAATGATTATAAAAAAATATAATAAAGATTGTAATAACAGTAATTATGATAGTTATGATGATGATGATTATGATGATAATGATATAATCAGAGCAACATAAGTAATAACTGTTGCAATATTGCCATGGATAAGAGTAAAACAATTATCTATATGGTTAGTGCCCCTGTCTATGATCTATAAGAAATATATTATTATCTATTAGAAATATATTATTATTATTCAAGATTGTTAATCTCTCTCTCTCTCTCTCTTATTATAATTATAAAAGAAAACACGTAAATTAATGTTATCAGTGTCGAGGAAACCTTTTTTTTCGTTGATAAAGAAATGTATCTTCTAAAATACTATGAATTAGTTCTTAATATCTTACTGAACGTGAGCCTTGAACGTACAGGTTTAAAGAGCATGGCATTATGCATTTTCTTTCAAAGACACCCACAGATAAGGGTTAGATAGGTATTATTACTGTAATATACACCACCTCCTTTGTTTATCTATTAATTTTATCATTTTATTATTATTTATTTTATTATCTATCTATTCATTCTATTTATCTACTTATTCTATCATTTTATTGTTCTTATTCATATATTTCTTCTTTTTTTTTTTTACTTTCCTTATCAAGGGTCGCTTTTTCACACCCATGACACACATACAAACACAATGATCATTACATTACTGTTCGCTAGATCATACAGATGTAATCAGATGAATAAATGCAATATAAGTGGATCACCTCAAGAAATTTGGAAAATACCAAAGGATTGATAGATTTTCCAACGCAAGCATATCAGTGTCAACGAAAAGATCCTTGGAGTTAATATTTTTCCATCTCATTTTTTTCTATAATTTGGTAATTGATTAGCTTATCTTCAAGCAATTGATATGAATTTAAGGGAAAAAATTAGGCAGTTTCTATAGTCAGATGAAAAGGAATTGCAATATTATTATTATTATTATTTTTTTTTAATACATCCTTAAGCTTCCGCACCCGTAATCAAGGTTTTGAATTGTTATCATCATCATTATCGTTATCATTATTTTACC